CTTGGCATTGATGACAGTTGCCACCATTGTCATCCTTGATCCAGTGACAAGGGGAAAGGAGAAATGACAAAGAGGAGCTCGGGAGAGGAGAGAGAGCATCTGGCAAGTGGGGGCGGGGGGTCGATAATTATTTGTGACTGGATAAATAAGTGACAAGTAGAGGTACAGCCTCAGGACATTTATTTTTGTGATGACTAAATAATTAACCAATGTAACACATGTAAAGCACCCACTGTGTGTCAGGTTTGGGCTGGGAGCCAAGGTGATCAAACGTGCTCTTACCGGGGTCTGAGTCGATTCAGAAGGGAGACTTAGGGCTGGGAAATGAGGAACATCGCAGCAAGTGGCTGATGGGCAACAGGGTTGCCATGACACCGGCGTTGGGGAGAACCAGCAGTCTCTCAGATCAGGCTCCCGTGGCCTCTGCCCACTGCCCCGCACAGCACGGCCCTGCGGCCACATCAACCTGGAGTGTTGTGTAAGTTGAAGGGAACTGATTGGTGGCTCCCGCCTCCCCTCTGTCACCCACCATCTGTGCAAGTGCCAGCAAACTGTGAACTCCCAGCCTTGATTCCAGTGGGTGTGGGGCTGGCGGCCAGGCAGGGAGCTGGGGCTGGTCTCAAGGTGGGCCAGCATTATCTTGGAAGGCTCTGGCCTTGTTTGAGGCCATGGCATGGCTTTAAACCTTGAAGGGGAAACAGGACTTTACCTTTGAACCAGGGGATTCTCTTCTGCAGGCCAGAGGGCTCCGGGGAATCTGAGGATTCAAGATTCTCAGGTGCATCTACCCAGACACCCCAATCTCATCTCTAGGCACTGTTCCCTCCAACCGGGGCCTGGAACCTGGCAGAGGGGACCCCCGAGGTTGAGAGGGCGTCCTTTTCCAAAGTCAGCTGCCCTAGGCTCGAGTCTGGGTCTGGCCTACAGCGCTGCCTGTTCTCCAGCTTCAGGGAACGAAGGTCTCTTTAAATACTTCCAGTGAGTTTTTCTAATTCTCACATTTTGCTTTCGATTCCTGATAATGGCCTGCACCTGTCACTTTCTTTTTTCAAAGCTCTGGTGTTGGCAGCAGCCACCTCTTCCCAAGTCCTTACAATTACTGTGTTTCCCGTTCCTGCCAAGCGCCAGCTCTGGGCTTGCTCTTCTGCATCCCCTCCCCTTGGGACCTCCCACTGCGCTGGAGGTGAACATTTGTGGGTCAGGGGCCACTGGTATCAATACTCCACTCACCACCAGTGTCAGCTTTCATGTCCCTGTGACCAAAATACCTCACAGGAACAACTAGGAGGAGGACAAGCTCCTCTGGGGCTCATGGGCCCAGAGGTCTCAGTCCACAGAAGGCCGACTCCTTGCTCTGGGCCCAGGTGAGGCAGCGCATCGTGGGGGAAGGGCCCAGTGGAGAAGAGCTGCTCAGCTCAAGGTGGATCAGGAAGTGGGGAGGGCCTCAGAGAAGATGCACCCTGCTGAGACACCCCAGGACCCTCCTCCTCCAGCCACACCCCTCCTGCCCACAGTTGCCACCCTCAGTCCATTCAAACTAGGAGGGACGCATTAGGCTACGCACTCACATCCAATCATCTCGCCTCTGAACACTCCTGCCTTAACAGGAGCTTAGGGGGCACTTGATATTCAAACCACACCAGCCAGCGATGCCGTCCTTACGACTCCCAGCAGAGGGCCATCAGCTCCAGAGTCTGGTTTTCTAGGATCACCTCTGGTACCAACCACCTGCAGTTCCTTAGGAATAGTCTGATACAGGGATGCAGGGATGTGTGATTTTTGGGGGGAGGGCTCAACATCTCTAAGGGATTAAGGGATGCAGGATAAGGAGGGAAATAGCCAAGCAAGGATGTGGTTATCTAGGTAGTCTAGGGTGTGTGCGTGTGTGTGTGTGTGTGTGTGTGTGTCTGTGTCTCTATCCAGCCTCTGAAGCTTGTACAACATGAGTTGATCCACCTTGAGACAAGGGGGTCATAGTCTTTGGGTCCCCGCATCAGCCAGTCTTTGGCTCCAGGGTACCCCCAGGGGATGAATACAGTTCCTAGGTGAAATGTTCCCTTTGGCTGAGAGCAGTTCTCCAGAGAAGGGGGCAGCTGTGAGCCGTTAGCAGCCAACATTCAACTTCCACAGCATCTATAGTGGGAATGGTGTCTGGGCACCAGATGCACTTCTGACCCTTTTAGAATGTGACGGCATGGATCACACAGATCACTCAGATTCCTTCCCTCTTGGTTTCTAGTTTGGCTTAAAAACGGGGGAGTCCTAGAATCAGATCATAAGGAAGAAAGAAGAGGTCAGGTGTCTGTTTCCTGCCCACAAATCTTCTCCCTCCATCTTGGTGACCACTCCCTTCCCACATCCCTTCAAGCCCAGGAGACATACTGTTCCTTGTAGTTTAGGTCCTACCCACACTTTTATTAAACTTTTTAAATTGTTTGAGCTGTGACCTAATGCACCAAGCTGGTGACAATTGGCGGGACCAAGGAAGACAGGAGTCTGGTTTTACTGTAAGGGCAATGAGAATCCATCACAGGGTTTTAAGGAGATGATCTGATTTTATTAACACTCAGTTTCAATTTCTCTCTTGGCTGACTGTACTATGTAAATTTCCAGTAATTTTTCTTTAAGGAAAGAGGCAGGATGTCATATTTTCTGAACCCTCATGTTTTTAAGAATATTGTGTTTGATTCTCTTGTGTGATAACTGGCTAGGGATGGAAGTCTACACATGCTGTTCGTGTCTGCAGTTTGGTGATGGAGAAGACGGAGACACCTAGTTTTTGCTTCCTTGCAGGTAACCAGTTTTTCCAGCCTCAGTGCTCATAGGATTTTCCCCTTGGTGCTGGGGATTGGTCTCCAGGCCCCATGCATGGCAGGCAAACGCTCTGCAGAGCTGTGCCCTCAGCCTACAACGCATCTTCATCTGTTCTTATGTTTGACAAAGGCTTTTGGTCTCATAGGACTTTGAGTTTTAATAAGAAAAAAACCCACGATGCTCATTCTATTTGGGGGGGGGGCACCATATGATTCTTGTTATCTTCTTCCTTTTCTCCCCTCCTAGCTCCGTCCTCACCCTCTTCATTTACGGGGTGACCTCCCCTCTGCTCTGGGGCAGCCTCCTGAGCCTCTCTTCTCCATCACTGGTTTTCTTCAGGGAATTCCACCACTTACTGCTTCAGTGAAGGGCTTAGTATTTGTGCAACCTGCCTCCTGGCAAATTATTTTACCTTGTCCTTCTTTTCTCGGACCTAAATTGTCTTCCAGATGCATTAACGTGCTTGACCTTTGCTTTTCTGTGACTTCTTGAGTTATGGAGGCCGTGCTTTTAATCTCACTGCAGGTGCTGATGCACGCCAAGTCGATTTGGTTCTCGCAGTACATCATTTTCAAAATCATGGTCTCCCTTTGTATCTCAGACAACCAACCCATTCACTGAATTGCCTGAGCACTCATTATGACACTTGCCGTCAGAGAACAAGACAGGTCCCTCTTGTCATGAAGCTCACCCTTAGTGTCAAGTGTCAGAAGAGTTAAATGTTCTGGGAAGGTGGAGGGGAGGGCCTGCAGGGTGCACTCCTGGGAGTCAGCAGAGGCGAAGTCTGACCAAGTCATGAAGGCATTCAGGGAAACCGTCCAAGGCATGACAAGTGAGGCCTTGAGGCGGAAGCACACTGGTGTCTGAGGGCAGTGAAGCCAGCGCAGCACAGCACAGCCAGGGGACAGGCTCAGAGATCACAAAGGGCTTCAGGAAGACCCGAGACCCACAAGCTGCAGAAGGGCCGTGGCTTTCATTCTAGGGAAGGTGTGAAGACGTGGCAGGTTTTTCCTTTTTCCCGGGATCTCACTGTGTTGCCCAGCTGGTCTCACACTGGAGAGCTCACATGACCCTCCTGCCTCGGCCTTCTGGGTGCTGGGACCTCAGGTGCACAACATCACACCTTCAGCTTTTCCACCGGGGAGACCAAGCAAAGGAATGGCATGACCTGGTTGTATATTAAAGTACGAGAATGAGCTAAGAAAAGAACTGTAAACAGCTGGGATCAACAGGCCAAGGACCACCCCTACAAAGAGGAACAGAGACCCAGGGCGAAGCCGACACGGCATGAGGGGAGTTAAGGAGGGAATAAAGAGCAGCCAGTCTGCACATACCTGGCACGATCCGGAGGTGCTGGCCCTCCTGGTGTGCAGCGTTCCCCACAGGCCCCGTGTGCACCTTTTCACACACCCTCAGCCGGGGTCTGGCCCATTGCATAACAGGGCACGGTGCCGCCCTGGCGCTGCTCAGCTCTGCGTTTGGCTACTAGTCCAGATCCTCACACCCACGGCTGTTCCCTGCTCCACAGCAGTTTTGAGCATCTAATGGACACTCACGAGGTGTGACTGCTGGCTGCAGGGGATCTGGTACTGCTGCTTCTCCGCATGCCAAGGGGCGGACTTGACTTAATACACCCTCAGGATGCACTTACCAGGGTGCCTCCTGTCTCCAGTCCTGCCGAGAGCCCCGGGAGAGACTGTACATCTCAGGGTACAGGTGCCCCAATATCATCCTCCTATGCTTTTAAAAATTATCAAGAAGACATAGTTTAGTGTGTGGAAAGAGGGAGTCTGGAGGGAATGTGCGATTTCCACATTATTGTGAGAGCAGCACCATGAAGCTGAGGGAAAGGTGCCGAGTTTTCTGCTTGGGACACAGATTAATTTGTCTTTCAAATAGACGTCAGGAGATGAAGCATGAGCGTTCCACCGATTCTCCCTGCCCGCCCCCGCGACTGAGACTCGGTGACTTCACACTGAGAAATTCTCCATTTCATCATTAGGTTGTACACTGGCATAGTTTTTGGTGAAGGAATACCTTTTCTTTTTCTTAATTTTCCTCCATGTATTTTATTGGCAAATTGGGATGAACTAAACCAGGGGTGATTATGCAGATGTCACTCTAAATAAACTGTGCTTTAAAATTTAGGCAACAGGTGACACATACTGAAAAGCCAAAATGCTTAATTTTCATTTTCTATGAAATAGTTTATTTCACTGTTTACTATGGAGAGGCTACAAATACATATCTTATATGCACACAAAGGACCAAACTTGGCAACACTGGTAAAAAATGGTTATAAGGAATCAAGAAGCTGAAGACCAGGGCACACGACGTTTACATTTGTCAACTCCCAGCATACATCTAAAATGTCAAAGGCACTTAGCAAACAGTTGAGTGAAGGAATGTGGAAGGTAAAAAGAAGACATATACCCAAGACATAAAATCAAGTGCTTAAATTTTCTGTTTGTTTTTTGACATTTTACTAAAATCTCTGATTTATGCAATTTACTTTGTAGCCCTAAAGTAATTAATGTGACTTGATTTCATGACCTCTTCAGATGAAAAGAACCTAATGCATATTGTAAAATCAGAATTTTCTATACTGAGTTAGTATAAGAACTATACTCTCTAGGTAAAGCTGAAGGTCCCACTGTTTTGTCAACCATGTCCCCTCTCCAGGGAACAGTGTGGCAGTCGGCTCTTACACTGGTGTTTTTGTGACTTTCAAGCAGTGCACACTTATCTAGCCCCTGCTGAGCACGAAGCTCTGTGCAGGGAGCTGGGGAGACATGGGAGCATGGTGTAGTCCTTGCTCTCTAGCTTATGTGTATCCCCTAAAACCGGGTCAGTCATGCTTTCCTTTTAATTTCTACCCATGTGTTCCTCACACTCAGAATCAAAGAGTTTATGTCCATATCCCTCATTCTAATTGATTTTTTTTTTGGGGGGGGGGACAGGAAAAACAAAAACAAAGATCGAGTAAGACTAACATTAAACTTAAAAAGCCAGGTATGGTGGCACATGCCTACAGTCCTGGCTACTCTGGAGGCTCAGTCTAAAGGATTCCTGGGGGCCAGGAGTTTGAGTCTAGTGTGGGCAACACAGCAAGACCCCATCTCAAAAACAAAACAAAAAACAAAAAAAAACCCACCCATACCCTGCATCTGTCTAAGGGCTGGTGCCAGTTTGTCTATGGCACGAAAAAAAACAACTACGTAGGGATCAAGGTGTACAGCACCTGTCAGTCTCTGATGAGCCACGGTGTCTTTAAATTGCTTTGTGGCGATTTCCTGCACTGATGTCAACACCACACAGCGTTCTCAAATGTGTTCATGCTGATTCACACTGACTCCCCGGTCACAGCCCCCAAGACGTTTCCACGTGAAGACAAAATTAGACGAACAGAACAACCCTGGACTGAGCGATACTCTGACACGACACAATTAGAGACACCTAGTGGCACATGTTCCCAACGAGGAAAGACAATTTCTTGCATATTTTCACCACAGTGTAGCTCCAGATGTGGACACAGAGCCAGGGTGGTGACAGCACATGGAGCCCGCTAAAGAAGGTGCTGGCAACAGAGACCTCAGTCCATGCTCGCAGAAGCAGCCACAGGACACCCGCATGCCACACAGGACTCAAAAGATGCCAATTTGTGTAATAAAAATGGCAACATTATAATTTCCTAACGCTGCGTACAGAAATGCACAGAAAGACTACACCAGCAGGAGTCCACAGGGAGCTATCGCGAGGGTGTACTAGTTAGCCTCCCTCCGTTGTAGGCAATGTTCTAGCTTTGATATTGAACTTCCCTTTAATAAAGAAATCTCCCTGTTTATAACATCTCAGGGCATTTTCTAGTGAGCTTTGTTAGAAGAGGGGAGCAAAAGCCCATCTGTATTACTGACCAACAATCAGGAGGAGGACCAGTTAGTATTATAATCTCAAAATTGCTGCAAGACGAGGTCTGCAGTTAAACACAAGTCACGAGGGCAAGTTGCACACATAAAAACAGTGACCTGATTTCACCCAGTACCAACCACTATTTACAAAGCTATTTGAATTTCTGTGTTCTCTTCACTGTCGTTAAATCCTGACAGTTTTGGAGGTAAACTTCATTTTTTCCAGTGCAGGATGATCTGAGCTGAATGAGAAAAAGAGTGATTAAGGGAGGAATGACGTAGATGTGGCATCAATGTGAACCACTCTGCTTCTTGATCTTAAAACAGCTGTCTCCAGTGTTACTACAATAATGTCACAAAAGTGCCAGCCCGTTTAAGGGTCTCAGGATTAATCAACACCAGGACAGACAAAATGATAAGCTGTGAACCAAGCCACCACTACTGCAAAGTTCCCAGAGTCACCTGTCCACCTCCAGTATTCCCAGCAGCAACATATTTAAATACAAACACAACTGCATATGTACAATAATGCCATATAAATAGTTCCTTTATTTTTATGATTAAAAATTTTAAAAATAATTTTACTTTTTAAATAATTATGTCTTTGAAAGTGGCAGACTTTTACTAAGAGAAACACTAGAAATGTGGAGTCTTTAAGAAATAATCTTCACCTTTGCCAATATATATTTTAAAGAAACCAGATTTCCACACCAACTAATGGAAAATTAACCATTTATAAGTCTGTTCCAAACTAAATAAAATACATACATACATCAGGATTGATTCTGCTAATTCAGTTAAAACATTTCCATTCCTGAACTATTAGCTACTGAAAGTCTAAAAGTGCTCATTTTTTTTTTTTTGCATACCCTCCTTTGTCACAGGATTTACTAGCAGTTCAGATGCTATTTGTATAACTGGCACCTAGAGAAGGTGACGGATATCAGAAACTTCACCCTCGGTATGTAAGGCCTAGATCTCTTCCAATGCTTCAAGCACATTATAAAATTTAGCTATTTAGATCTTTATAATTTAAGTGTCCTAAGTATTTTTTGACCCACTTTCTCCAAAATTCTTTCTATTCTAAATAGAACATTTTGCCTCTTGGTACTAATAATGTAGAATTAATCAAGCAAACACATTCAAATTCTATGTTTTGGACATTTTAAATTAAAATGATCAAAGAAATGAAATCTGTTAAACTGGATTGTTCATTAACTCTCTTAAATATTGGTGAATTCCAGGAGCCTATTTCTGCCCCCTCCAACCGAGGATGTCCATGTGCACAAGTTCCTGAAGAATCTGGTTTTATCACAATGCTTCCTCCTCACACGCTTATTCTGCATTTTCACTTGTTTGAACAGTACAAGGAGGTTGGTGCATTTTTAAATTAATGTACTTTATCGTTATAAAAACACGCTGAGATTAACGGTGACCCCGTAGCGTTAGGCTGCTGACTGGTCGTCTACAGAAGGGCCTACGCCCCTAAGTTTTACTACTCACTCCTGTCGGCTCTTCTGACTAGACTGTGCAACATCTGCTCCTGTGAGGAGGATCAGAACACAGACAGGAAATCCGAACAGCTGACTGAGCTCACCTTAGCATTTCAGGCAAAAAGGTTAAAGTCAAAGAGAAAAACTACTAACCAAAGTAAAATTAAGGAAAAAGTTACCTGTGGATTTTATTCACACACACTAGGACTGGTCCCTTCTTATTGGAGTTAATTGACAACTGACTAGACCACAACTGGTAGCTATGAGAACTGGTCACTTTCAAACATGTCAACAACATTCTCCAATAATTTTATTGTCTCCAGATTATGGTGCTATACTAGGCCTTTTTTCTGTCTGAATTGCCCATTTCTATAATCCATTTCCTTGTACAATTAGAAGTGGGTTTACTGGAATGTTCTTAGTTATAGCTGAAGGCAGAAACATTGACAACATTTAGCTTTTGTTACACCCATAAACATGTGGAAACTGCTTCAAAGCAACCGTAAAATGAAAAGAATGATATTCTTGCAAATGTTGTGGTTGTGCATCTCTTAGCTTAATAGTCTGGTATGCTACACAGGCTTCCTGACCCCAGACTGACCCCATCTCCATGCAATAATACAAGTCCTTGTGCCACTAAAACACTGGTATGAAACACTGCCATCAGTATTTAACTATATATACAAATAATGAACTGGCAAGTATCTAGTTTCAAATTAGACCTTGGAATATAGCAACGTAAAGTTATCTTTGTGTTAAACATAATTATCATAAGCACATTTTGTTAGAAAGGAAGCAGTTAACTGAACATTCTCAATGTTCCAATTTGAAGTGATACTTGACTCTTAGTTTCTTGGAAAAGAAGTTTTGAAAGTTATATACATATATTCCATTTAAATTATACAGCAATCTTTTAATTATTATTGTCCCAGATCTTGTTTAATGAAGATCTCTGTCATCAAATCAAGTATGGTACTTCACAACTATAAGAACTGTAAGAGAAAGAAAATGAAAAAAGAAGTCAAAATCAGATTCATATAGAAGCAATATTCCTAAATGTAGTTATGTAGTTAGAAAGGGATAACAAGGGCTGGACTTTATACAACTTAAAAACAAGGAAAAAAAATAAGAGAATATCACAAAATAACTCAAATATCTAACACAGGCATTTTGATCAAATTATGGCATAACAGCATGTCACTACCAAAATATGATAAACATATTTAATAACATGAGAAAATGTTCACAATATATTTATTAAGAAATATATACAATATGATCTTAGTTTCTGAAAAACATGTTTATATATAATAGGAAAAGACTAGAAACTACACTGCAGTTTTATTAATGAGTAGCTATCTCTGTATGGTAAGATTATTTTATTTTCTTCTTTACGCTATTCCTTATTTTCCACTTTGACACCACATGCGGTTGATCTTGTTATTTGATACAGTGATATAAAGTTCTATAAAGTTACCATAAACACTAAATTCGTGAATACGAATCACAGCTCCTAGGGAAAACACAGTCCCAAGTTCTCATGAGCCTCTGGCTAGGACATTCTTTTTTTTTTTTTGTAGCTACCCCCCTCTTTTTATTCATTCTTTTTAGTTATATATGACAGTAGAATCCGTTTTGACGTAATTGTGAAAACATGGAATATGTCTTGTTCCAATTCAGCCTCCCGGTACCTCCCCTTTTCCTTCCCTCTCCCATCTTCTGTTCTCTTTCCTCTACTAATCTTTCTACCATTTAACCATAGCATTTTTAAAATTAATTTCTTGTGGATGTACCTGATGCTTAGATCCACTGTGGTATATTAATCTAGGAAAGTTACAGCTACCCCTTTTAACAACTAGATTAACCTCAAAAGAAATTTTCTTTCTCTGTTAGAAAGCCTTCATAGCAGTTCATTGTCTTCTTCCCATCTTCAGTATAGGTCTAGTCTTCTTTTTCCAAAACTGTGCGCCTGTGCCTTCTTCCCCTCATCTTCTAAGTCTGTTTAATTTCTTTCCTTTAAGGAACCCATTCTTGTCAACCTATTAATACATAACCCTGTTTTCTGTGTTTCTGTTTAAAGACATTTAATTTGTACTTTTGGTTCAAATGACACTGAACTCAAGGCTGACAGCACCAGCTCATGCTGAACAAAGCCTGCCCAACACATGGCTTTCTCTTCGGGCACAGCCTGGCCTTCCTAAACTTACTGCATTAGAGCACACTTGAGAACTGTGGCCACGGGCATTGAAAACTAGGAAATCGCCAAAAGTACAAAAAAGGGAAAAACAGGGATTTGTAGACTATAGAAACCCCACTTATTTATGTAAGAGAGCTGAAAGGAGGGGGCAGAGATGGCTTTGTCTGACCTCAGTTGGAAACCTGCATGCAGGAGATTCAAAGCACGCATCTGCTAATGACTGTAAGAGCAACATCAAAAATGATTTGGGAATCAGAAATAAGTTCTATCTTATTTCACAAACCGAAAACCTACAACTAAACAGACAACTGTACTCTCTTTTTTGGTCCTGGGGATTGAACCCCAGGCACTTTACCAATGACCTATGTCCTCATCCCTTTTTATCTTGAGACAGGGTCTCACTAAGTTGCTGAGGGCCTAAATTGTTGAGGCTTTGAACTTGATCCTCCTGCCTCAGCCTCCCTCCTCAGCTGGGATTACAGGTCTGCACTGCCAGGCCAGATGAGACAACTTTTCTTAGTAACAAAAAATAACCTCATAAACATTTTCACATGATTATTCTGAGGCACTTTCAAGACCTACTTAATAAAATCTCTGTATAACATGGGTAAAGAGGGCTTTAAGAACCTCAGACACTAAAAATGACTTGATCTTTAAAAATAATATTAAGGAAAAAAGGAAATAAAGGAGTTATGTTTTAAGGACTGTAGTTCAGTTCAAATCCACAACCAAATAAAACTAAAGACACATCATCTAGAGAATTTCACTGGATCTGTCCTTCTAAAACAACATGCTGGCTGCTAACCGACGCACCAGGAAGCTAACAATAAACAGAAGATGAAGATTTCATCCTCAGTGAACAGGAGCCAGTCCTGGCCTTGAACAAGTCACTTAGCCCTTATTTGAGAGTGGTGATGAGGGGTCAGAGAGGGCTTCCTTTTGAGAATCTGCCTCTTTCCCTGTAGAAATGTACATCTGCATATTCTCAAAAAATTTCACAAACACATTAGAACATTTTAAAGATCATAGATAAGGGCTCCTGACTTAGTTAAGCAAGTCATTCAGTCCTGACATTACATTCTAGGTTAACTGAAAATAATTAAAAGGGAATTAAATGACCTCCCAAACACATAATAACCCCAAGAAGTAATAATCCAGTAAATACTTACTGATAATCACTAGCAAAAGGATAGCAGCAACCAAAGCCATGATGGCTTTTATCTACAACACACAAAAAAGACACATGAAAGACATTGTCTGACTCATTTATAAAGCCTAAAGTAAGGACTATCTGTTTTGCTATCTGCCATGTTACTCTAACTCATTAATGAACAGGTACACTCCTTGAAAGGTTTCAATTTGTTTCTCATATGAACTTGACGGCCGCTTTGCATTCTTTCATAAATAATATTTTGAGTTCCCCAAAATCCAAGTGCTTTGCCTCACTGGACTTTATGCCATTCAAGGCTGTACTGTAAGATACAGTAACACCTTCGTGGGTCTGGACCCTCTGTCTATGTTTCACATATTTGTCTCTGAGGCCAGGAAAAGTATATGATAGCAACTCTGTCCAAGTGTCAGGATGTGATGGTTAGCACGGGCAGTCAATACACAGAGGTCTTCTCTGATGGAGGGGAATATGTTCTTATGAATGTGATCCCAATGGACACCTGAAACCATGGAGAGTACCCAATCCTATATATATTATGTTTTTCCCTAAACATGAATACGTAAGATAAAGTTTACAAATTAGTACAGTAAGAGATCAACAACTAATAATAAAACAGAACTATAACAATATATTTGGAGTAAAAGTCATGGGAATTCAGTCTCTCTCTTGAAAGAGACAATTTTTAACATTTTTGGACCACAGCTGGCTGTGGGTAACTGGAATTCTGAAAAGCAGCATATTTATAGTACATATTCTGAAAGTACAGGAGAGTAATGTTAGTGTTCTCTTCCCTCTTTCTTCATGGTGCCTTAATTTCCATCTCAAGGAATATATTTTGGATTCATCACGAACAGCCTCACTTAGTAAGTTGCCTAAGATTATTTGGTATCAGTTTTATATTCAAGAGAAGAAACCTTAAATCAGTTTCCTGTCAGCTACTTGACATTGGAAGTTTATGTTATCTTTCTATATAAAACTGTTATGTTCATCATTTAATCCTAAAATGCATAAATTATAAATTTCAATTCACTGCTAAAATTTATTTTTTTCATCATTTTTATAAATAGTTGATTAAAAATGGTTCATTCAGAAAGAAGATACCCAGTTATTATAAACAGATAAAAATCTAATGAGTATCACAAATAGAAACAGTGATAGTTAATGTTTCTAAAAGTAGAATTAATGGTGACATGTCTATGGCATTCCATTCATGACAGTTAACAAAATGACCCAGGGCAGTTCCTGTGGATTTTATTCACGCGCACTAGGATGGCCCCTTCTTATTGGAGTTAACTGACAACTGACTAGACCACAACTAGTGGTTCAGCAATTTGGACATCAGTCCTATAAAAATTATTCATTATAATAATAATAAAAAAAATTGACTCAGAACTAACGGAAATAGGAGTTATATTTTCAGTAGGGCCCACATTATACTAAAAACTAAAGTTCTTTTTTAAAAAATATGTTTTTAAATTGAAGATGGACACAATAATTTATTTATTTACATTTATGTGGTGCTAAGGATTGAATCCAGTACCTCACATGTGCTACGCAAACACTGTACCTGTGAGCTACAACCCCAGCCCCAAACTAAAGTTCTTTAATCCTTTATTTAACCTGAAAAATTTCTGGACTTTTATGGTAGTTTTTCCACTTTGCCCAAAATGCACATTATTTTGCCCTGTTAATATAAAGCTAGACTTAATTAACTTTTGAAAAAATTTAAATGAAAATATTGGTACTGATTTTTAAACACCTCAATGAACAAGAGTTTTCTGATTACTAGCCATTCCTGACTATGAGGTAAATTCATTTCTATAAAATGTTCTGCAGGAATATAGTAGCATATAGTGATTCTGGTTTTTTTACTTGTTAAAATTTTGTTATTATTTATGTTATTTGTTTATTCACGGAGGGAGGAAGTCATGGCCATGCTCATCATGTCCCATTTTAAGAATAAGTCATCAGTGTCCCATTTTACAGGTAAGGTGCTGGGGTCAAAGGGGTCATGCTTGTTAAGTGGAAGAACTGCAAACAAAACAGGTTGTTGGACTTCTAGTCTCAAGCTGCTTCCCAGGACATGGTTGAACATTTAAGAAAATTTCCTTATTTCTCTGGAATAATGAGGGATATGGGATTTTTCTTAATTCCATTTGCTGTAAGAGATTTTGAAAAACACCACTTTTTTTTGGGGGGGGGGTACTGGGGATTGAACACAGGGGCACTTGGTCAACTGAGCCACATCCCTAGCTCTATTTTGTATTTTATTTAGAGACGGGGTCTGAGTTGCTTAGCACCTCACTTTTGCTGAGGCTGGCTTTGAACTCGGGATCCTCCTGCTCCACCTTCTGAGCTGCTAGGATTACAGAAGTGTACCACCACATCTGGCCTGATAAACCCCTTTAAAAACATTCTTTTAGGCACTACTTGATTCCTTCATTTTTGCCCCAAAAGAATTCATTAATTCAACAAATATTTACCCAGCTCCTTCCACACCCAGGTTCAGGAGACGTAACAATAATAAGCAAGACGGTTTCAGCCCCTGTCCTCACGGAGCTCATCCTGTACAGGCCCCTTTCCTTCCTGTCGTGGACTACCCCTTGAGAGTCTAGCCAGTCTGCCCAGTGTCTTCTTTTTTTTTTTTTAATTTTTTATTTTTAATATTTATTCTTTAGTTCTCTGCGGACACAACATCTTTGTTTGTATGTGGTGCTGAGGATCGAACCCGGGCCGCATGCATGCCAGGCGAGCGCGCTACCGCTTGAGCCACATCCCCAGCCCATGCCCAGTGTCTTCTGATTCACTTACTTTGCATCCACGCCACCACATTTGCCTTCGAAGTTGTTTGGCTCTGTTGCTAAAAGCAGTTGCATTATCCGATAAGCTTTCTATATCACACAGAGGATGGAGAGAAGGATTAAACGACATAACAGGATTCTTTTATCTAGTCACACAAAGACAAGAAAATATTAATTTCTACTTCTGTAAATTTGTTCCCTCTTAAGCATGAAAACATCCTCCACCCACAAATTCCACCATTCTCCCTAGTTAAAACTAAAAAGCAAAACACAGCTGCAGGTCAGTTAGCTCAGTTCATTTTCACTGTGATATGAGAGACGCATTCCCAGGGGCTGGATGCATATTAAAAAAACTTATAAATGCTGGTGAGAAAATAGTCCTTAAAAAAACAAATACTGGGCACTGGGTATAGCTCAGTGGTAGAGCACCCACCTGCTTTGCATGCATAAGGCCCTAGGTTCAATCCCTAGAACCAGAAAAATCACAACAAAACAACAAAAACTCGGTACATTGCTAAGAAAAAATTACAAGTGAAGAAAGTTAGATTTTTAGAAAACTGACTGATTTTGAAAGAAAATGTTATGAACTTTTAAAGCAATTAAGCAAGTCTCTTGTCAAGCAAGTCTTTTGGTCAAGCAAGTCTGTCGAGAATTAATCAGGTATTCAGCCGTTTACCATTCAAACAACGTGAGGGACTAACGTGTGCCAGGAACTGTTAGAAGCGCAAAGACTGACATCTGCCAGTAAAGAAAGTCACTAAGTTACCAGAGAACTCATAAGTTACCAGGTATTCTGCTAGTCATCAAACAGTATCTGAGTGCCTAGTGAGTGCCAGGAACTGTTAGTACAGAGGTAACATCGTCAGTAAAGAAAAGTTACTAAAGTTACCATAAAATAAAACTATCAGATAAGTTTGGAAAAGTTTTGGGAAAAAAGTAATCAGATCTTTATGTCTTGAGATCATGAGAAACAAAATCCACATAATGGGGCAAAAGGAAAACGTAGTTCTACTCTTTACACTTCAATAAGAATTTTAAATTCTCTATTCTCAACTGAACAGTAAGGAAATAATACAATAAGAGGATTCAAAGTAAAGGGAGTGAAAATTAAACTATACTGGTCATACATCTAAGAATCAAATACTAATTTCCTAAGCCAAAATTCCTAAATGCTGGCTAGACAAGAGAAGGAAGACAAAAATTGGTAAAACAGATCAATAATATCAAGAAATATGAAGTATCTGTACCTGATTTGTCCTGTAGTTCATCTAGTCTCTCCCCTCTTTCAATTACCTTTGTAATATTTTCTTGCATGACATCGATAACTTCATCCACTTGATTCTGAACACTAGTTTAAAAGAAGATATATATCTTTTAAGAATGTTTACAGTTTTGAAACTTATATTAAACAACAGAGAATAGCACATTCTAAGAGATTAAACTATAAAATATACGTAAGCAATGTTCTTCCCTCTGTGGCCTTGAGTACTCAAGTAATTAAAAACAAAATGATATCAATTAAGGTAATATTTAACTGAGAGTTTACTTTAGTCCTGCCTCTGACTAATAATGTAACCTACAAGCAGATTAAATGTACTGTCAGGATGCTCATTAACCGCAAAACTTAGTCAAACAGCTTTCAAATAAGGTTTCATGTTCTGCTGAAGCAGCATTCGGACACAATCATAACCTACCTTTGCTGTGTTTCACACACAAAGGCTGACAAAGGTGTTTGCCCAGGTGTGTTAGAAGTTTCCAAAATGGAAATGTAAGGCGTACCCCAGGGGACACCGTTGCCCAGTGAATGTAACACTTCACTGCTCATCAGTTCTCTAAAACGTTAACAGGGTTAAGACAACTGTGAACACCCAGGAACTTTCTGAAGCGCTCACCAGAAAGCAAAAAAGACAATTTCTTTGTGTCTCTTCAAAACAAAAAAACTTTTTCCTCCTTTATATTAGGTGACAGGGGCCTACTCTAACCAAATTTAAGACTGTTCAGTGAAAACCCAACTTAAAAGTTAACTTTAAGGATCCTCAACTACCTACTGTCACTCAGCACTTAAACACTAGAGAAAGCATTATCTTAATTTATGAAATAAGTCATGACAATGAAATATTTAAAAGGAGAAACCTATGGCTCTTATAACTCAAAAATTTTTTGAAGTGCACTAGATAACTGGCAACTAAACAAGTATTATATATGCATATTTAAATGAGGACATGCAATTGTGTTTCTAGTTGGAGAATGGGAACTTTCTTCTCATGATTTTTAAAAAATTGGTGCATTATAGTTGTACGTAAGATTTGTTATTACATATTAGTACATGCATACACTATAACAATATAATTTGCCCAGTGTCATTTTCCTTCCCCTGGTCTCCTTCCTCTAATCTCCTGATCGCTCTTCCATTTTCATGAGATGCCCTGCCCTCAACGATTTCCCCCACCTTTTCTCTCCTGCTTCCACATAGGAGAGAAAACATGACAACTGACTTTTTTAGTTTGGTTTATTTTGCCTAACAATATGTAGAATGAGACTAGATCCTTATCACCCTGCACAAAAGTCAACTCAAACTAGATCAAAAACCTAGGAATTAGAACATTTTCTAACAAATTACATAAATTTCATTCTTTATGGCTGAATAAAACAACATTTTTATTTATCCATTTATCTACTGGTGGACATCTAGGCTGGTTCCATAGTTTGACTATTGTGAATTGCACTGCTATAAACATGGGTATGCATCCATCACTATAGTACATTGACTTAAATTCTTCAGGATCAATACTGAAGAGTGGTATAATTGGGTCATGTGGTGGCTCCATTTCTAGTCTCTTGAGGAACATCACATTGATTTCCATAGTGGCTGTACTAACTTACAATGCCACCAACAGTATATAAGTGTTCCTTTTCTCCATATCCTCTCTAACATTACTGTATTATTGATGATTGCCATTCTGACTGCAGTGAGATGAAATCCTAGTGTAGTTTTGATTTACATTTCCCTAATTTTTATGATGCTGAACTTTTTTCAAGTTTGTTGGCCATTTGTATTTCTTCTTGTGAGGGTTATGTTTAATTCATTTGTCCCGGTGTGTGTGTGTGTGTATAGGTGTTAAGTTTTTTGAGTGTTTCTTATATTTTGTATATTAATCCTGTCAGAAGAGTAGGTAGCAAAACTTTTTCTGCCATTCTGTGGTTTCTCTCTTTCATTTTCTTATTTCCTTTGCTGTGCAGAAGCTTTTAATTTGATGGTATCTCATTTATTAACTCTTGGCATTGTTTCCTGAGCTTTAGGGGTCCTACTGAGAAAGTCATTGCCTGTGCCTATGTGCTGGAGTGTTGACTTTACGTTTGCTTCTAGGAGTTAGGTAGTTTCTGTTCTAACTCCTAGGTTTTTTATCTAGTTTGAGTTGACTTTTGCGCAGGGTGATAAGGATCTAGTCCCATTCTACATAAGAATAATCAGTTTTCCACCTGGGGAACTTCTGAAAAACTTTCACAAAACACTTCTCTTCTGTCTACCACCCTCTATCCTCCAAACTAACTGAAAAAAATGGGGATGAGGCATGGTCATGTGTAATTTTTAAGAGTTCTACCCTTTGCCTAACACAAACATTTCTTCAAAACATTCACTTTAAAAACACAACAAAGGCCCATTTAGACACAGGTGGATTGGAAAGAACTCTCTATGCCTGATGACCACCTCCCTCCCACGTGATAAGTGTTGTGTGACCCACTGATTATCTACACACAGCGTTCAGGAGCATCCAGCTTCTCAGAGCTCTGTGCCTCCCACACTATAACCCACTGAAGGATGTAAGACTGAAGTTCAACCAAGCAGGGACATGCAGAATTCTCACCTGCCCAAACAGATCTGAAAACCCCCCCAATCTCTAAGATGTCTTGAGGCAACTCCTAATTATCTAAGCAGAGGGCTGAAGATGTGTATCTTATTAACAATGGCGTTCTTACACAATGAATCAATTTACTCAACAAATAATTAATGAGCACCTATTATGTACTGTTTTAGGTACTCGGAAAACAACAAATAACAAAACATTAATTCTGTTCCTCAAAGAATTTATGTACAAATGTACAATGAAGGCACCGAATTCAAACAGCCTGCTCAATCCCATTACTGTTTTATTTACAGCATTTAACAGTAAGTGCATGTACCTACTTACTTACATACCTCTCCCCACTAGAAGGTAAGCTCAAAGAATGCAGAGACCTTACCTATTTTGTCCATTTACCTAACAACCACAGTACCTACAGGGGTGCTTGGGGTAGTCAATAAATGTTTATAAATAAACATTCAATAAATGTTTGCAGAATAAGTGCATAATTTAAGTACGAATCCTGCAAAGCATACCTAGTTACTTGAAAGAAACATAAAGCAGTGATTACAGAGCCTTTCATTTAACTATGAAATGGAAGCAAATCCAATGTTCACCATGGACCAATCTTGAAACTTCCAGGTAGTTTTTTTTTTCCCCCATTTAAAACAAGCAATGATAGTCAACAGGCCAAAGTAAGACAGTGTGGCAGGACAGGAGTGGACACAATGTACTATTGCTTCTCCACCGGATCAGATTATTGTTATTACGGATATTTACATACCTATACTACACAATTTTGTTTTAAAAACAAAACCTAAAAGCCGAAGAAACAGCTATAGTCCCAGAGGCTCCATAAGCAAAAGACTCCACAGATAACAGGCACACAGATGAACTGGGACAGAATCCATAAAATTCTAGATTAATTCTTAGATTATCATAAACCTAGGAATTGTACCTCAAGAATATGGTACAATGTAACACATCTCTAATGGGGATATTCCAACATTTTAATTGTTTTATTAAGTGATCAATGAATATTCTCTTCTTCATAGATTACTATCCACTAGCATAACACTCTAGAAACTCTAACCTTTATTCAGTGATCGAAAATCTCATGTATTTCTATATTTCAAGATGTTTTCATACATAGAACACAACTTTTTTTTTTGACCTTTATTTTATTCATGTAGTTATATGCAATGCTGAGACTTGAACCTGGTGCCTCACACATGCTAGGCAAGTGCTCTAACACTGAGCCACAACCCCACCCAGGATATACTTTATTTTTTTTTAAATATATGACAGCAGAATGCATTACAATTCATATTACACATATAGAGCACAATTTTTCATATCTCTGGTTGTATATAAAGTATATTTACACCAATATCCAGGGTCTCTGGTTTAATTCCTAGGTCCTTGATCCACTATGAGTTGAGTTTTGTGCATGGTGAGAGATAGGGTTTTAATTTCATTTTGTTGCATATGGATTTCCATATGGATTTGCATATGTCTCCATCATACATGTACTTTTGGATAATAATGTCCATCACATTTCACCATCATTTCTAACCCCATGCCACCTCCCTTCCCCTCCCACCCCTCTGCCCTATCTAGAGTTCATCTATTCCTCCCATGTTCCCTCTCCCTATCCCACTATGAATCAGTCTCCTTATATCAAAGAAAACATTCAGCATTTGTATTCCTGGGATTGGCTAACTTCACTTAGCTTTATCTTCTCTGACTCCATCCATTTACCTGCAAATGCCATGATTTTATTCTCTTCTATTGCTGAGTAATATTCCATTGTGTATATATGCCACTTTTTTTTTTATCCATTCATCTACTGAAGGGCATCTAGGTTAGTTCCACAGTTGAGCTATTGTGAATTGTGCTGCTATAAACATTGATGTGGCTGTGTCCCTGTATTATGCTGTTTTTAAGTCCTTTGGATATAGACTGAGAAGAGGGGGGTAGCTGGGTCAAATGGGGTTCCATTCCGTTTTCCAAGAAATCTCCATACTGCTTTCCATATTGGCTGCACCAATTTGCAGTCCCTGCAGCAGTGTATGAGTATACCTTTTCTCCCATATTCTCGCCAACACTTATTGTTGTTTGTCTTCATAATAGCTGCCATTCTGACTGGAGTGAGATGAAATCTTAGAGTAGTTTTGATTTGCATTTCTCTAATTGCTAGAGATGATGAACTTTTTTTCATGTTTGTTGTCTGATTATATATCCTCCTCTGAGGAGTGTCTGTTCAGGTCCTTGGCCCATTTATTGATTGGGTTATTTGTGTTTTTGGTATTTAGCTTTTTGAGTTCTTTATATATCCTAGAGATTAGTGCTCTGATGTGTGAGAGGTAAAAATTTGCTCCCAAGAAGTAGGTTCTCTATTCACCTCACAGATTATTTCCTTTGCTGAGAAGAAACTTTTCAGTTTGAATCCATCCCATTTATTGATTCTTGATTTTAATTCTTGCACTTTATAGGAGTCTTATTAAGGAAGTTGGGCCTAATCCAACACAATGAAGATTTGGGCCTACTTTTCTCCTATTAGACGTAGGGTCTCTGGTTTAATTCCTAGGTCCTTGATCCACTTTGAGTTGAGTTTTGTGCATGGTGAGAGATAGGGTTTTAATTTCATTTTGTTGCATATGGATTTCCAGTTTTCCCAGCACCATTTGTTGAAGAGGCTATTTTTTCTCCAATGTATGTTTTTGGCACCTTTGTCTCATATAAGATAATTGTAATTTTGTGGGTTAGTCTCTGTGTCCTCTATTCTGTACTCCGGGTCTAACAATCTGCTTTGGTGCCGACACTATTCTGTTTTTTATTACTATTGCTCTGTAGTATTGTTAAGGTCTGTAAACAAGTCAGGATGGCGCCTGGCAAATGTTAGAGTCTGTAAACAAGTCTGGATGGCGCCTGGCATTTTGCCAGAGGGAGTGGTTTGTGAAGTAACTCCAGCGAGCCATTAAGTGTGGAGATTTCTTATTGGTTGACTGCTGTATCGAGTTTATGTTAATTAGATAAGCTATGTGGAATGTATAAATACCTCTGTTGTCCTACAATAAACGGCTCCCTCTCCTGCTGTATCAATGTACACAAGTTGCTTGTCAACCCCCCGGCTAGTTTGCTGCAGCCGGACTGCGGCATAGTATAGTTTAAGGTCTGGTATAGTGATGCCACCTGCTTCACTCTTCCTGCTAAGGATTGCTTAGCTATTCTGAGTCTCTTATTTCTCCAGATGAATCTGATGATTGCTTTTTCTATTTCTATGAAGAATGTCATTGGGATTTTGATCGGAATTGCATTAAATCTGTATAGTGCTTTTGGAAGTATGGTCTTTTTGATAATATTAATTCTGCCTATCCAAGAGCAAGGTAGCTCTTTCCATCTTCTGAGGTTTTCTTTGATTTCTTTAGGGAGAATACAACTTTTGTAGAAGAAAATACTATTTAATATGAAAGATGATTTTTTAGCAAAACAGCAATAAGACACTTTTCCATGACCTTTTATGTTTCCATGGTAGTTACAACCCTCTTATTTCTATTTTATTTTACATTTGTTTTTTCCTATTATACTATAAATGTAGAAGAGAGAAGCAGACGCTGTCCAGCCCCCTTCTTTTCATTTCCCAGCTCATGTGAATCCTGCCTAAGCAAGCATTCAGCAAATACTGTCTAATCTAAATATTTCTGTCATTCAAAAAACACTTATTCAGAAGTTATATGTTTTCCATTAAGGATACGTACATGAATGAGCCTGATATTTAGATGATTACAATTTAATGTGGAAAACTGGTATCTGTGATTCTACTAAATGTATTAAGAGCTATTATGGAAGGATGCCCTGGGTATCACTCACGTAGCCTAGAAAAATGCAGCCTAAGTCAGAGATGACATCAAGATTCCATTGCTGAGTCCTGAGGGTACAAAGAATGACCTGGAAGGAGATGGTGGAAAGTGGGAAAGCTCTAGGCTAAGGGAATATATTTAAAAGGAGGAGCTATTTTAAGTACCAAGTGATTAACTGGGTATGGGTGAAACAGAAAATTAAGAACTCAAAGGAAAAGCAAGTTTGTAAAGGAAGGTAAGAGATTTACATCATGACTGTAAGGTCATATGGTAGAAGAAAGGACACAAAAGAGAAAATACCTAGGAAAAGAGGAGCTACAAAGAGGAAAAGGAATTCTTTATGCAATTTTAAATCTTCTTTGAGTCTGATAGTACAGGATTCCTGAAGTGTCCTCTAATCTAATCATCAGTAGGTAAGCTAGTGGTGTAGTCTAGACAATCATGGGTTTTATATTCATTCAGAACCAGACTTGCAATCCAACTTGCCATTTGCTATGCTCGTAACTGTGGAAGTCACCTCATGAGCCTTTTAGTCTTGTATTTTCTCACTTTTAAAATGAAAACGATAAACTGTCTCGCTTGACATGTGATAAATGCCAGTGCTTTTCCATTAAGAAAAAAAAATCATACTGATGTGCACACGTGCGCGTACACACATACACTCATCCTTAGTTTGTAAATATTTATTTTCATAGTTAACATCCCCATCTTGTGGCCTTTTAAGGTATTGTTGACAAATGTCTTAAATTTATGTTGTATTTTTGCAACTACACATATGTAACTATTATATCATGGAACCATTCTCTGGGGATCTGGACCAAGGCTCTAGTTGAGAGATTCCCTACTGGTAACAGAGAATGTCTAAAGTCACTAAAATGGCATTTGAAGTGTTGTTATTGAATTTAAAAGCAAAGGAAACATTCCAAAGAGAATACAATTTTATATAGACATGTGAATGTTTAAAAAATATTTCCCCCCCAAAAAATTCCCTAAAACTGGATGGTGTAATTTTTCTGGTATTAATCTATTATCAACATTAATAATTAGTGGTCAAATTAAAATAAACCAATAATACTGCTAATCTATATAGTCAAGAAATGCCCTAAATGTTACAAATTAAGTGGTGATAACTTATCTTTAAAGAAACTGACTAATTCTGCATGTTAAACTAATACCAGGGAGTTTTTTCTTGGGTAAGTGGTATATCAAGCTGTATCTACCACCTTGGTTGGACACAGTGGTGAGTCATGTCCCCTTCATGAAGTTGGGCCATCAAGGTTTACTCTGCATTTCAAAGCTGACTTCTAACTAAATCTACTCACGTCTTCAGCTCTACCGTAAGAACTAGTACACTTACTCAACAATTCTTTATTATTTTATAATCCTGTGATCCCAGTTATTGTGGTAGTTTAAGTATGTACATGTGTGTGTGTGTGTGTGTGTGTGTGTGTGTCTGGCAGTTACTAACACACATACATATTCTGTAATGGCAATGGTTTTTAGGGTTCAGCTGTAAAATCATGCTCCACAGACCCAAGAGGCCATATCCTGCACCAGGCTCACTCTGCAGAAGTATATCACACCAGGAACAACCGTGTGGGTAAACAGAGAAGTTACCCTGGCTCCAAGTAGGGAATTACTCTCAGCCATTACTCAATGACACCCTTGCAGCATCCACGTATGCTTGAATCACCTTTCATCTGAGTCCTGGCAGAATATCTTGTGAATCCCGTGGAACACTGACCAAATGAGTGGCTCATGAGGCCATCTCCCATCAACCTCCATGTCTTCCTGAGGGGACTGACACAGATAGTTTCTCATCATACCCAGGTACTGATGAGGTATAAACTTCCTGCAGGTTCTATCTGCAGACTATAAAAACCACTTAGCTGCAGTGAGAAATAGCTCCTTTGTAATAGGATATACAATGGTATTGCAGCCACTGGGCCCTCTCATTTGGTATCATTTTTGGTGTGTGGGACAATGATCCTAGAAGCTGGTATTTTTGGTTACTCTTCCTTTTGTTATGTAATAAATGGCCTGAACCCAAAAGCAGCTTGTATCTTTACTGGCAAATCAGAAACTGGAAGCAGTAAACATTCTCTCTGCTGCTGGTCTAGAAGCAGTGAGTACCATGAGTTTTTCAGCTGCAAGGAAGTGAATTTTGTCAACCACCTGAGCTTGATCATAAGCTTCAAGTGAGCTACACACCTACTAATAGCTTGACCGCAGGCTGTGAAATCTATAGCAGAGGGCACCCCTAAGCAGTGCTTGAACTTCCGGTCTCATGGAAGCTGAGATGATAAATATGTGTTGTTTTAAACTGCTAAGCTCTTGATAATTTGTTACATAGCAGAAGAAAGTTAATTCAGCAAGTCCACTACTCTAATCAACATGTTGGTACAGGCTGAATATCCCTAATCTGAAAATCTCAAATCCAAAGTGCTCCAACATCGAAAACTTTTATTAGAGTGCTGACGTAATGCCACACATGGAAAATTCCTCCCTTACATCCTGTGATGGGTTGTAGTCAAAATACAGGCACACTAAAAGTATTGTATAAAATTATCTTCCAGCTATGGATGTAAGAATTATAAATAAATTTCATGTTTAGACTTGGGTCCCATCCCCAATATATTTCATTATGTACATGCAAATGTTCCAAAATTTAGAAATAATCTGAAATCTGAAACTTTCAGAACCCAAGCAGTTCAGATAAGGGATACTCGGCCTGTACCTTGGTTCTGTATCTTAGAACGAAGTAAGGTCAGGATTAGGCTAAGTATGGATATATTTATTACATCAACGGTACTTGACTAAATCCAACTGCCTCACCAATTCCTACAGACTCTAGTCAGCACCTTTTCAACTATACCCAGAATTAGGGCAGTGGCTATTACCCTTCCTTAGGTCCTGAACATGAGTTATTCAGTTTATCTTCCACAGTTAGTCTTTGCAGGTTGGCTGATTTCCAGGACCTGGCCTCACGTGACTCACTGCTCTGTCCCTTCCTCTCCCCTTCAACAAGGTCCCATCTCTCTAACATCAGGTACATTCACTACAGCCTGTTACTCATGTCATACTTCTACCATCAAGTAACACACGTACAGCAAAGGTTTTAGACCAAAAATTAGCCATGAAACTAAGATCAATATAGGGATTAGCCTAAATATTAGAGATGAAAAAATTCTGGAAGTAAATAAAAGCTGCGCTACATTAAAAAAAAATCTATTATCATTCTGATAATGGCAATCAAATGATAAATTAAAACCAAAACCCAAAGAGACCTTCAGATTATGCTAAATAAGTGGATTTGACATAAAGCAATTAAGAGAAGCCATCAATTCTGCATTTGCTGAGTTATAATTCCAAAGTGACTTTGTGAAAATATAATTAGGTTTCTATAACCCAGTAGCTATACTGTCTATTTTAGGGGTCAAGATATTTTAGATTTCATGGGTCATAAGGTATTTCTTTGTTTAAATTCTCTGTCATAACTACTCAACTTTGCCATTATAGTTAGAAAGCAACTACAGATAATATGAAAACAAATGGGCATGGCTGCATTCCAATAAAATTCTGTTTACAAAAACACCCCAGTTCACATGAAAATATTGATTTAAATAAGCATTCAGGAACTTACTGCTTAATTTTATCATTTTTAGGTCCAAATCTTGGTCCAGATGGCCCCCTTCTGAAAATAAAATAGCCAGTATATATTAGTAGTGGTCATATCAAACAAAAACAAAAACAAAACCACACATCCATATATGCAATCATGTGAGATACACATGGATCAGTCATTTACCAGAAGGAATGACATTTTACGAGTATTGGTGAACTCCATGATACATAATCTGGTCTTTACTTCACTGGTAGTTACCATTGGCCACAATTACCTTAATTATTCTAAGTGTTAAAACTTTATGAGAAATGAGGACTTATACAACCCTTAGAAATGCAGTTTTTTTCCTAATTGTTAAACTCTGAAATAATAAAAATAAACTGCCCAGTGACTATGAATACCTTTATAATCAATTCTTGAGCAACTAAAAGTGCAAATCACCTTGAATTTAGGACATTGATAATTAGGAATGTTGATTGAGAGATGAATAGAGAAAACTATTCACTCAAAACACTAAAAAATTTTACGTATGTATTTTGATTACTCATCTTAAATCTACCAACAGCAAAAGGGGGAAAAACAAGAATCTTAAAAATATTAACATTTCTTAAATTATTATCTCTTTATAAAAGTCAAGGGTATATAACCTTAATTCATTTTAGCATTCTCAAAATGGAAATTTTTAGATATTTTAAGTATTTTAATTATCATTTTACTGAAGGTAGTGAATAAGGTAACTCAAAAGAAACAAGGTTCTAAATTTCTAGACATAGGGTAACTTCTAAAGGAGGTGAAAAAAAAATCCAGTTTGTGACAAGAAAAACATTTTGGAGAAAAAGGTTAAACTGCCTATTAAAACTTATTTACATAATGAATAAATATGAAAATATCAACTTGCCTTAATTTCTCTAAGTTCTTCCTCCAAGTATTTAAAACTGCAATTAAGCCTTAGAATACTGGACCAGTAGCCAGGCATGGTGGCTGGCGCATGCCTGTAATCCCAGGGGCTCAGGAGGCTGAGACAGGAGGATTGTGAGTTCAAAGCCAGCCTCAGCAAAAGTGAGGCGCTAAGCAACTCAGTGAGATCCTGTCTCTGAATAAAACACAAAATAGGGCTGGGGATGTGGCTCAGCGGCTGAGTGCCCCTGAATTCAATCCCTAGTACCACCCCCTAACACACACACACAAAAACTGGACCAGTATCTCATCCCAAAGTACAAGTTAAATGTTGAATTCCATAGAGAAAACTAATATTCTAAACCAGAGGAACTACAAATGGGTCAACTGAAAAGCATAAAAAAGTAGTCATTCAGTGAGGAAACCGCAAAGTGAGACAGCCATCTGAAAATTATTAAATTAAAATTATTCCAACTACAGGTTAAAGAAAAGCAGCAGTGGCTACATTTGTTTTCACTTACTACATAACATGAGACTTTAGAATGTTACTGAGGAAAAAGACAAAATAAAACCCGAACCCAAGGCTGGTTCTTTGATAAACGTCTGGTCAGATCATACAGGAAAAACAGATAGGGCAGGAAGCACAGAATAAGAGCAGACACAATTACTAACAGAAGCAAGGTGGGGCCTCACTACAGACAAATGCACTACAGTCATGTAGGATTTACTACGAAGAGCTGAGTGGAGGACACACGGCAGCTCTCTGTCTAACCATGTAATCCTTCTGTAAATCTAGAATTATTATAGAATCATGTAAAAACTCCTACAAAAAAATTTGGGGACTAGATGAGTTCAATTATGAATTCTACCAAATGTTCAATGTAGACACATAGCAATATTACAGAAACTCTTCTGGAAAAGTAAATACAGAACATCTCCCAAATCATTATATGGAGCCCACCTTATCTTAAACCAGTAGCCAGCAATAATATCTCTAACATAAATGCAAAAAATCCTTCACAAAATCTTAACTGATGCCAACAATGGCTTAATGACTACAAATGATTTATTCCAGAAATACAATGTTGGCTTGAAATTTCAAAATTGATGATAAATGACATCATCTATTTCTTAGCAAATTAGGAACAATAGGGAGCTTCCTCAACCTGATAAAAGGCATCTTAAAAAAAAAAAATGCAATGAAATCAAACTTAATGGTAAAAAAAAAAAAGGAATGTTTCGCCCTAAGGGAGCTCTGGAAGAGCATTCTCTCTCACCACTTCTAATTCAATATGGTACTGGGGTTTTTGCCAGAGCAAAACAGGAAAGACAAAGAAACAAAAGGCATACAAATGCAGAAGTAAAACTATCTTTATTTGTAGACAATATAATTATTTATGTGGAAAACACAATGGAATTCATAAAAATACTATTAAAATAAATAAGAGAGCTTAGCAAGGTTTAGCATTAATTTACTCTATGTCTACATACTAGCAATGAATAATAAGAAATTGAAAAAATCTAAATGAAATATTTTGTTCTCTCTCATATGGAAGTTGGAAAAAAGAAAAAGAAGATAGGGGTAAGGATCTCATGAAAATCAAAAGTAGATCAGGAGAGGAAAGAGACAAGGGATGGGAGAAAGGGGGAGGGGAGAAGTGCTGGGGAGGGATATTGGCCAAACCATATTATTATACTGTGTGCACTGCACGTATGAACACGTAACAACAATCCTATCCTTACGTGTAACTACAATTCACCAATAAAAATGTGAAAAGAAAAAAAAGCATGAAATACTTATGGACGAATCTGTCAAAAAAAATAAATAAATAAAGATCTGAATCTGAAAACTAAGACATTGCTGAGGGCCTGGGGTTGTGGCTCAGTGGTAGAGCGCTTGCCTTACAAGTGCGAGGCCCTGGGTTCGATCCTCAGCACCATATAAAAATAAATAAATAAAATAAAGATACTGTGTTCAACTACAATTAAAAAATAAATATCTGAGAGAAATTAAGGACCTTAATAATTACAAAGATAAGCTATATTCATGAGTCAGAAAACCCAATATTGGTAAGACATTAACTCTCCCCAAATGGGTATACCGATTCAATGCAACCGCAACCCAGATTCCAGCAGGAACTTTTGTAGAAGCAAATAAATGATTCTAAAATTTACATTAAAAATTTTAAAGCCCAATTAGCCAAAAGAACATTGAAAAGGAAGTGTAAAGTTGGAGGACATACACTATACTACTTTGCAACTTATTAAAAAGTGACAGTGGTCAAGGAAGTGTGGTATTGATGTAAGATGGACATACAGATCAATGAAGTAAAGAGAGTCTAGAAATAGTGCCACAAGTATAAAGTCAATATTTTTGTCAGTTTTTAAAATTACAGTAAGTACATAACAAAATGTGCTATTTTAATCATTTTTAAATGTAAAGGTCTGTGGCATTAAGTGTATTCAATTATTCTGTAACCATCACCACCATTCACCTCCAGAAATTTTTTATCTTTCCAATTAGACACAACTCTCCATTCTCCCCTCCTCACAGCCCTGGCAACCCCCATTCTACTTTGTGTCTCTCTGAGCCTGACTATACTCTAGGGACCTCATCTAAGGGGCATCATGCAAATACTTTTCCTTTTGTGACAGGCTTCTTTCACTTAGCATGATTTCTTTCTTTTTTTAAAATATTTTTTTTAGTTATACTTGGGCACAATGTCTTTATTTTGTTTATTTATTTTTATGTGGTTCTGAGGATCAAACCCAGGAGAGGCGAGTGCTCTACCGCTAAGCCACAACCCCAGCCCCCACTTAGCATGATTTCTTTAAAGTCCATTCATGTTGCAGCAGACATCAAATTCCCTTCCTTTTCAACACAATATCCATTTATGTATATTGCACATTTTGTTTATACATTCATCTGGTGCGGGACACTTGGGCTGTTTCCACCTTTTGTCTATTGTTAATACTGCTGTTATAAACATGGGGGTTAAGTAATATTCAAATATTATTTTGAGAATTTTATTTGTCTTCCTTTCAACAGGTAGGGGAAGCCGGATATGGAAGCTGGATATTGAGGGGGTGTGCCACTTAGGGTGTCAGGCCCTTTGGAAGGTATACAGCATTATATGGGAGTGGACATACATTTTTGGCCCAAAGAGTTGTTATTTCTCACAAGGGCATCTACCTTACATTCAGAAAATCACTTATCTACCCAAAGCATCTGCCCATCTTTTCAACACTGAGTTCCTAGTAACTACCCTTTCATCTAAGACTTCTCACCATAAAAGGTACTGTAGGCAAGTAGCTTATGGAAAGCTTGTCACCTCTAACAAATTACATCCCTGCCAAAAATAATACAATTTATGACATTCCTGCCAAAAATAATACAATTTCCTGTATTTGCTTTCTATCCTATAAGCTCTTGCCCACTGCTTCATGGGTTTCAATTGATTTTATAAAATGTTTTCATCAAAAATCAGCCTCCACAAAAAAACATGTCACAATATGTTAATGAAGTAGAAGGTAAGCGCTTCCCCTCAGGCAACAATTCCCAGCAAAGACTCTTACAACACTGCTTCACAGACACAAACCTAGGCTGCATGAGAGTGATTTCAAATTAAAACTAAAAGGACTGGTCAGGGGGCTGAGGCTATAGCTCAGTGGTAGAGCACCTGTCTCACACATGTGAGGCACCAGGTTCAATCCTCAGCAACACATAAAAATAAATAAATAGAGATATTGTGTCCATTTACAACTGAAAAAAAAGATTAGCCAGGTCAAATAGTTTTCAGCACAGTACCATGATAATTCAATAGGGAAAGAATAAACCTTTTCATCAAATGAAATAATTAGATGGCTTACAACCCCACCCCCAAACCCTTCATCCTTACCTCAGCCATGTATAAAAATTAACTTAAAATGGATTACAGGCCTAAATTTAAAAGCCAAGACTATAAAACTCCTAGAAAGACATAGGTGAAAATCATAGTACATTATGTTTGAGAAAGATTTTTTTAATAAGATATAAAGAAAGAAAAACAATATAGAAAATTCAATAAATTGATTTCATCAAAACCCAATTAATCTTCAAATGCTACTGTTCCAAAAATGAAAAGGTTAAGTTACGGATTTGGAGTATATATTTGCAAAGCACATATATATGACAAAGAACTTGTATCTTTCTTACAACATAATAAGAAAATAAGCATGTATGAAACCCTGGGCTTGATTGAATTAGAGCAACACACACACACACACACACACACACACACACTCACACAGGAGTTGAACATATACTTTGCCAAAGAAGGCATAATGATGGAAAATAAGCACATCAAGAGATGCTCAACATCAGTTTTCATTAGGGAAATGCAAATTAAAAACACACTGAGATACCTCTACACACCCAGTAGAATATCTAAAATAATAAAGATTGACCATATATAGTTGGTTACAATCTGAAGCAACTAAAACTCTCATATAGTACTGGTAAGAATATAAAATAGGGCTGGGGTTGTGGCTCAGAGAAAGAGCACTCGCTTAGCATGTGTGAGGCACTGGGTTCGATCCTCAGACCCACATAAAAATAAAAAGGTATTGTGTCCACCTACAACTAAAAAAAATTAAATAAATAAAAAGAATATAAAATAGTTCAAACACTTTGAAAAACAGTTGTAAATGCACATTAAGTATTTTACTCTTAGATATTTATCCAAGATAAATAAAAGTGTATGTCCACACAAAAACTTTTATGCAAATGTTTACAGCAGCTTAATCTGTAATGTCCCCAAACTAGAAACAACCTAGATATCCATATACAAGTGAATAGACAGATAATTGCAGTATATTCTGCAATGGAATACTACTCAGAAAAAAAGAAACCCAATTATTGATACATGGTTGAATCTCAAAATAATCATGCTGAGCAAATGCAGCCCGTAAAAAAGGGGGCATACTCTATGATTTAGTCTATATAAAATTTTAGAAAATATATACTACAGTGATAGCATATCAGTGGTTGCCTAGGGACTAGGAAAGCAACAGATTATCAAGGGGTATGTGGAAACTTTTAGGGTGATGGCTATATTTATTATTTAATTTTAGTGATGATTTCATAGTTTGTATGTCAAAACTCATTGTACACTTTAAATATATGCATTTGATTGTCAATTATACTTTGAAAAAGTTGTTCAAAAAACTTACAGAAAAAAGTCCTCTTCTTCATCTGAATCATCTTCCAAAAGATTTCTCTGTCAAAAAAGAAAAAAAGAAAGAAAGAAAGAAAAAGACTTTTCAGATTCAGAGGGCTTATAAAATGTCAAGGAGAAGTAATGAAACAAGTTCTATACAATGAATTTCTCCAAGCTTACAGACAGAGGGAAGAATGATCAATCACATTTACTTCAATAGAAGCTAAATGATATGGAACTGTTTACAGACCTTCCAAAGAAAATGCTTATAATTCCAGAATCCTATAATTGATGCTGCAGGCAGTTAGAAAGAAGCCCCTTCTCATTCCTCCCAGTGTCTCTGTATTGGCAGAAATTAACAGAGAACCAGACGGCAGAGAAGGAATGTAGTTTGTGGAGTCCAACTGCCGCAATGGAGGACAACAGGAGGGTAACCAGAGCTGGGAGCAAAGGCCTAGTAACTGGCTTGGTCCACCTTCTAGCTGCTAAGTCCATAAACAGCACTCTACACAAATCTGAACTCCCACACAAAAACCTTAGATTCTTACCTCACCAGATAGGACATTCTTCATTAAAATGAAGTGGTCTCTCTCCGCCCCCCAAATGGGAAGACATGGAGTCCCAAAAGGAGGCTATAGAAGAGCAAAACCCAGACCTTCAGACAAGAACTCAAACAGAATATGATTGCTTGCAGGTAAAATAATGGCTCCCCAAGGAGGCCTATGTCCTAGCCACCAAAGCCTGTGACTGCGTGAGCAAGGGTGTAGGAAGGGACTTGGCAGAGGTGATTAAAGGTCTTCAAAGGGGCAAATTCATGACAGATTATTCATGTGGGCCAGAGCTACTCACAGGGTTCTTATAAAATGGAAGCAGGAGATAGAGAGATTGAAACTTGAAGATGAAAGAACATGATGAGCCCAGACAGGAACTGGGAAAGGCAAAACCCATTTCTGCCCTGCGGCCTCTGAATGGAAAACAGCCCCACTGGCACCCCGATTTCAGCCCCGTAAGACTCATCTTGGACTTCAGGTCACCAGAAATCAAGATCATAATTTCGTGCTTTATATTTGTGGTTTTTACAGTAACAATAGGAAACCAATATACCACTCAGGTACCTTTTCTGAGGAAATTGCTCAAAAAATTACACCAGCCAAAAAGAAAATTAAGAACAAACCTCCTAAGACAGAGATCATCAAAGAATCTGATGTGTGGTCAGGTTTAAATGTTTGATGGTAATGTGACGGTGAACTGTAAGTTAGAATTACTGAAAAGGAAAAGGCACAATCCAAGGAAAAGCTTAAAAAGAGCCTAAAACTTTTTTCTAACAAAGCTCTGAGGCTGGGACATGGAGTGTGACCAACACGCCTGTCTCAGGGAGAAGTGGCAGGAAAGAGGGGGAGGGGACAGGGCTAGAGTGAAAGACAACACAACGGAAGGTCACCCGTTTCTAGTAAGCTGATGAAGAACAGATTTAAACATTACTGTTACAATATAAAGTTAATAACAGAAAGAGGAATGGATGGAGAAAGGCAGTAAAATTTCTCAACTGCCTAGTGGTTCTAAGGATAAGGAGAGAGATAAGGAAAAGGAATCAATCTAGGATTGATTATATAAGGATTAGAATACAAAGAATATCCTCACATATATGTAAACTAAATACTCCATAACATGAACAGTAAAACAGTGAAAGAAGGACGTATTTGACCTTCATTTAGCATGTATTTTTGAGCATTTCCCACATGGTTGGCACTGTTCTAAGATCCAAACCAGCTGTGAATGAGACAGACAAGCTTTGACTGAGCGTTCATAGAAAAATGTGACTGTGATAATGCTGTGCAGGAAACTAAAACAGTGACGGGACAAAAGTGATGGTGTGACAAATGAAAATCATTCTCAAGAGGTGAGTGAAATGTAAGCTGAGACCCAAAGCTCCTTGATAACAGAGACAGCCAAATATCAGGGTAAAGAACATCCACTGCAGGCTGAAGGACTACCTGGCACAGAAAAAGTCCAAATGTATTGGTCATCACAATAATGAGTGGTCTGAGTGGCCCTGACAAAAACAAAAACTATATATGATTAGAGTTCAAAAAATTCCAGCCTATATCTGTTTTCAAGAAAATTATCTACAACAGAGGTCAAAAAAATGAAAAATAAAAAAGTGGTAGAAAAGAAACCTTAGCAAATTCTATCAAAAGACTATCAATCTAAATAGAAATTTTTAGGACATATTAAACAATCAAATAATAATTTTGTAATTATAAAATACACAATCCACCAAGAAGACTTAACAGCAATGAGTTTATATACATAACAATATGGCTTCAAATATATATAAAACAAAAGCTGATTAAAGTGCAATGATTTATGTCAGGCATGGTGGTACATGCCTATAATCCCATGGCTCAGGATTATAGGAGGCTGAGGCAGAAGGATCTCCAGTTCAAAGCCAGCCTCAGCAAAAGTGAGGTGCTAAACAACTCAGTGAGACCCTGTCTCTAAATAAAATACAAAATAGGGCTGGGGTTGTGGCTCAGTAGTCAAGTGCCCGAGTTCAATCCCCAGCACCAAAAACAGAAAAAATATAATGGTTTATGATCCAGTTTATTTGGTTTAGAAGATATAATGTATGTTTATTTTAGTTTTATACTGGAAACACACATGAAAACCAATGCCTTTTACATATCAATGCGATACCACTTCACCCAGCAAGCACTGTTTGAGGGTGTGGAGGAACTGGAACCCTCACAGTGCTGGTGGGAATATAAAACACCATGCAACCATGTGGAAAACAGTTTAGCAATTCTACAAAGGTTGAACATTAGAGTTACTCTAACAATCAGTAATTCGATGTCTAGGTATGTAAGTATAAGAAATGAAAATGTGTTCAACAAAAACTTGTATGCTAATGTTCATAAAAGCAATATTCACAATAGCCAAAATGTCAGGAAAAATTCCAAACATCATCAATTGATGGATAACTAAATGTGGTACATCCATACAATGAAACATTATTCAGTTAATAAAAAGGATAAAGTACTGATACATACTACCACATTGACAAATCTTGAAAACATTATGGAAGTCAAAGAAGCCAGTCACAAAAAGCTACATATTGTATGATTTCATTTATGTAAAAGGTTCAGAATAGCCAGGTGCAATGGTACAACTTGTAATCCCAGCTGCTTGGGAAGCTGAGGCAGGAGGATGCAAGTTGAGGGCCAGCCTCAGAAACGTACAGAGACTTTGTCTCAAAATAAAAAACAAAAAGGGGTGAGGATATAGCTCAGTGGTTAAGCACCCCTGGGTTCAATCCCTAGTACAAAAAAGAAGGTTCAGAATAAGTAAATCTATAGGTTTTTGGTTGCCTAGGGCTGAGGGAATGGAGAGAATGGGGATGACTGCTGAAGGGCACAGAGTTTCTTTTAGGGAGGATAAAAAACCCTAAACTAGACCGTGCGATGGCTGCACAACTTTGTGAATATACCAAAACCCATTAAATCGTACCTTTTAAATGGGTGAGTTGTATGTTATATAAATTATATCTCAATAAAGCTGCAAAAATTATAATTGGAAAGAGTAACAAAACTTAAAAAATTTAAAAAGCAATTATTAGAACCAATCAGTTATGAAATTTCAAAATCTCATAAATATCCAAAGGCAGGCTCTATTTAAACAGTGGATTTTTGTTCAGTTCAGGTGTTCAATATCCAATTTTTACAGCCAATTGTGCTAATAACCCACATGTAAAGAGAAAGTCACAGTTACAGTCTCAGTAGTAGTACTGATTGAGACTGTACATTTTATATCTTTAAATATGAGTTCAGCTCATTTTAAAAAGCTAAATAGCAATTAGTCTTTTGGTGGGTTCTTCTCCCCATCAAAAACATAAACAAAAACAAACTAAGGACAAATGCTTTTTGTATTATATTAAAAGATACTTCTAAATCATAAAATGTTGAGTGATTAATATCAAGTTCCAAAGTTACACAAAAAAGGAGCATATAAAATAAAGTCAAACAGGGGCTGGGGATGTGGCTCAAGTGGTAGCACGCTCGCCTGGCATGCGTGAGGCACTGGGTTCAATCGTCAGCACCACATAAAAATAAAGACATTGTGTCCATCTAAAGCTAAAAAAAAAAAATGAAAATATTAAAAATAAAAATAAAGTCAAACAGACCAAGAACTCTTAAGGGCAGCAACTGAGCCCCCTAGGTTTTAACACCAGGCTTACCACGCAGTAGGTGGTTAATAAGTACTTGTGGAACGGATCAGTAAATAGAAGGATGACAAGAAGAAAGGACGTAAGGGAGGCTTCCGTTTACCAGATTAAAAAAGGAAAAGAATATATTTCCTTCCCTCAAAAAATATTCTATAGATAGAATACTTATTCTATCTATAGAATTATTCTATCTATAATAGTCACATGATAAGCTGTCTTTCAAGATGCTGCACAATACCCTGATTTATTTATTTATTTGTTTATTTATTTATCTATCCCACCACCTTCTCTCTTATTTTCAGTGAAGTGGATTAAACACAGGGCCTCATGCATGCTAGGAAAGCATTCTAAAACTGAGCTATACCCCCAATCCCTAAACATAGCGTATTTCTAAAATGAACTAGAAATTGAAGCATCATGAACAAGGCATTCTGGACTCTGAGACAGTCACAGGTCCAGGATCTATCACATATAATTTCAAAATCTAAAAAGTTCAATAAGCCAAAAAGCTTTGATAAGTTTGGTGTCAAAACTCATTTGGGCTGGGTGCAGTGGTGCATGCTTGTAATCCTAGTGGCTTGGGAGGCTAAGACAGGAGGATCATGAGTTCAAAGCCAGCCTCTGCAACCACAAGGTGCTAAGCAACTCAGAAAGACCCTGTCTCTAAATAAAATACAAAATAGAGCCGGGGATGTGACTCAGTGGTTGAGTATCCCTGAGTTCAATCCCCAGTACTTAATCCCTGACAAAAAAAAAAACTCATTTGGAGGAAAACCTGACTTGAATTGACTTTAGCTATTTTATTTATATAGATAACCCATATATTTCACTAAGAAATATTAATATGTTTGGAGGTGTTAGTTCAGACCCCTAAAAGCTATATACTTAACTACCTTACTTAAATCTGAAAAACTCTAAATTTCAAATATATTTGGCTCCAGAGTTCTGAATAAGACATTATATAGTTGTATAATATTTTCCCTGAGCTTGGCCTGGTGGCACACGCCTGTAATCCCAGCGTATCAGGGGGCTGAGGCAGGAGGATCATGAGTTCAAAGCCAGCCTCAGCAAAGCCAGGTGCTAAGCAACTCAGTGAGACCCCCTCTCTAAATAAAATACAAAATAGCTGGGGATATGGCTCAGTAGTCGCATGCTCCTGAATTCAATCCCAGGTACCAAAATTTTTTTTTTCCTTGAAATACTATTATCAATCTAAGCAATATATATTTTTTAAGACATTTACTATGAAGTTGAAAAAAGTAAGATTAGAATATGGTGGTGATAGGGTTCAGAAATTGACACCCTGAAGTAAAAGCTTCACAAGCAGCCTCATAGCAAGGTTTCTCTCTGACTGTCCCCTGCTATCAAGTTTTCCCCTAAGGCAAGCTACAAGGACCGCAGTTCCTTTCCCCAAAGGAGGTCACAAAACCCAGAACCCCCTTTCCCCAAATACTGTCATAAAACCTAAAAATATTAACCTAATCTTCTCCTTTCTATGTAAAAGTTGGCCATAAAACATTCACTAACCTACCTTCTTTGAGTGCCCCATACTCAGAAGGAAGGACTGCTGCGGGGAGGCCAAGGAAAGTTCGAGCAGACAGGCCTTGCTGGCCTCCCCCACTCCCCTGAGTCTATTAGTGTTAGATAACACCCTTTAGTTCAACCCTATTTCTACATGGCTGCCCTTACTTCATCAAACCTGAGCATGAAAATGTATAATTCACTCTGGGTCTTTGGGTCCTGTTGACACATACAAAACTGTGAACATATAAATCTGTTCAATGTTCCTCTTCTTAACCTGTTTTTTGTTATGGGGTGTCAGCTACGATCCTTCAGTATGAGCAAGAAAGGGATCACTACCTTTGCTGCTCCTACAGTAGCCATAAACTTTAGATTCTTTTATATTATTTACAAAGGGAGTGAAAACATGTTGACTCTTTCTTGTTCTAAAACTTAAGATTCTAAACTTACCCTTTCGCTTTTCACAGAACCAGTGACATCATCATCATTGAGGTGTCGCTTGAACTTGGGAGGCATATTTTTACTCAGAGTACTCTTCTATTTCCCAGCTGAATAAAATATTCACCACCTTAAGGAGAAAAAAACCAATCATTAGACTTTTGGATGTAAACTAAAGTACTTAAAGCAGACAGAAGGCCTGTATGAGAGACGACCCCCCCCCCCATTTTGGTGACTTCAGCTACTCCCGTCACCTGCTCTACTCCAGTGACTTTACACCTGAACATGTAAGGAACAGTTAAACACATGATAAAATCAAGTAGTTTCCCAAAGAAAACATGTGGAAGAAATGAGTGAATTAAGGATTTTATAAAATGAAAGCGCAGACAGTACAGGAACAGAAAAAATAGAAAGAAGTTCCTTGAAAATCCTAAAATGCTTTATGATTTTAACTTGAAATCAGAAGCTTAAGTAATGATTCTATTTCCTTATCTGTAAAATAGGAATTTCTATGATTTTGCATGGAATTGAGGTGGTCCAATCAGATCATACATGCAAAAAAAATTTGCAACCTACATAGCGTCCCACTGGTATTCCATGAAAAGGGTTAAGTTTCTTAAGTCCTGGTTTGATACTGTGATTTTACACACACACACACAAAACTTAAGATACACTTGCCTTGGGTCTTCACCCTATTTCCTAACATATAGTTCCTAATACCCTCAGAATCTCAGAGAGTGCTAAGTGTGGTTTTTGTTTGTTTGTTTGTTTTTGTATGCTAATGAGATGACTAGCTTCAGAAAGGCAGCTAGCTACAAGAAAGAGCAAGGCATGATTAAAAGGTTGGGATATTGCAGCTCCCATTTTGGGGAGGGCAGAAGGACTAAAGGTTGTGAAAGTTCAGTCAATCACCAACAGCCCAATAACAGTAGTCTATTTTGCCTAATAAAGTTTATGTAAAAAACCTAACAGGACAGGATTCCAGAGTTTCCAGATGGCTGGACACATGAAGGTTCTTGGAGGGTGGCGTGCCTGAAGGGCTATGGAAGCTCCTGGTTCCTTCTGCATACCTTGCTCTGTACCTCTATTCCATCTGACTATTCATCTGTATACTTCCTAATAAACTTTATAATGAACTGGTAAACATAAGTAAAGTGTTTCCCTGAGTTCTGTGAGCCACTCTAGCAAATTAATTGAACCTCCAAAAGGGATTGTGGCTGCCCCAATTCATAGCAGATCAATTAGAAACACAGGTATAACATCCTGGAGCTTGTGATTGACACTCAAAGGGGGGGGGGCAGTCTCATGGGACTGAACCCTCAACTTGTGGGATGCTATCTCCAGATAGTGTTAGAAATGAAATGAATTAGAGGACACCCAGATGGTATGTCCTAGAGAATCTGCTGCAAAAATTACTTGCTTTCTGGTAGAGAAAAATCTCCACACATTCTGGGGTCACAGAGGTGTATGTATTATGAAAGTAGGAGAAAACGAGTTTGTCTCTCACATCAAAAGAACTGAGTTAAACAAAGCCAGTTTTCTTTGTTATAGAACCACCTCACAGCTTTTTACATGCTAATAAGTACTGTGATTTTTTCCAAGAAAATGTGTAAGTAACAATAAAATTTTTTGAGAAAAAGTGGCATATGCAAATATGAATTTTCAGTATTTTTGTATCAGATGATGGCTGAACACCTAAGAACTCAGAATAGCTCAAATGTATAGAATGCTTTCTGTGTTGGGCACATAGATGTGCAATTTTCTCAGTGATGCAGAGCAGTTTTAGTGCTCAGAGTTACACATGCATGTTTTCTTTTATTCTCTATGCATACCACTGAGGTAAGAACCAAGAAACTAAAAGACTTAGTAAAAAAAAAAAAAAGTGTTGTCACTTATTGAAATAGCAGAGATACAGGCCTAAATCAATGGTTGTGCGTTATCAGTTTTAGTATTTATTCAATTGGTTGCCATCAGATGACACAGTTCTACCTGAGAAAGACATACTTCCCTGTAACAACCCAGTAGCCCACATCCTCTTCAGGAAGAAGCATCTGAGATCTTCAGATTAAGTACAGTTAGACATTAGTTTGTTGTTTAATGTCATTCACTTAAAAAAAAAAAAAGTGTCTAGCTTCATATTCAACGAAATGTTCTCAAGCCAGAAATTTAACCTTCTGTAACCTCACTAAACTCTTGTACCTAAGTCACAGCTCCAGAGTTTCTCATTCCACAATATTTCCGTCATGTACATCTGGCCCATTTGATGCCTCATACTTTGATTTAATGATAATTCACTCATGCAGAAATGTTACAGAATGCATGGGAAAACAGATGACAGCAAATAATCGGAGAACGTGAGCTTTTCTTCAATCGTATTTTAAATCCTACAAAAGGATGCTAGGGTGCTCTACAGCCCCCCACAAACCAGACAGACTCCTATGAAGTCTGCATGACATACACAGCAAAGCTAATACCTTAAACAGCAGACCCCGCCGTCAGAGCCAGGGGACCAGCTGGGAACAGCAGTGAGCCCAGCTCCACAAAGAGAGGGCCACCGGCAAAGCAGCAGGCAGGTCGCCACCGGCGGGATCAACCGACGCCATGGGTACCAACCAACCAAGGCGACGAGTCACGCTCGGGGAGGCGGCGTGGACGTCCTCGGTAAGACCTCCTAGAAGCCCACCGCCCGGGCCGTGTGCACACGCCCGCCCCGCCGGCCCGTCCCCACCGGACGCCCGGCACGTCACGCACCGGGAGCGGCCCCGGGCCTCCGCAATGGCTCTGCGCAAACAAACTTGCATCTATTTATTGATCTTGCTCCACCACCACCCGCCCGCCGCGCTCCGCGTCCGCAGGCGCCGGCCCTGGGCGGAGGCCGTCCTCCTGCGCGCACCGGGCGGCGCCGGTTCCCACCCCGCGTTCCAGGCCGCCCCTCCGCCGCCCTGCACCGCGCGGCCCCGGGGCCTCTCAACCGCCCCCCGTCTGGCCGAGCGCCCGACCGGAGGCCTGGGACGTTGGCGCCGGCGCGTCGCCGCCTCCCCGCCTCCTCTCGCCCGTCCCCACCGGGCAGGCCGGCGCCGGTACCTGCGAGCCGGAGAGCTCCGCGGCGCCGGGCGGGGAGAGGGAAGCAGAGCGGGGAGAAGAGCCAGGCGGGAGGGGAGGCCGCGGCGCCGACCGCCTCGGCCGCAGCACCCCCGCTCATCGAGCCGATCGGCGCTCGGCGGTGGCGCGGGCGGGGGGCGGGACCGGGGCGGAGACCGCCGAGCGAGTCGATCCCACCTCTTCTGCGCCCGGGCGCACCCCCCACCCCCACCCCGACCCCGCGCATCGTGGTCCGCAGCCTCGGAGTTGCGTGCTGGGGAGACGTCGCCGGGGTCGCGGGGTCGGCCGTGCGCGGGTTGCTCGGGGCGGCGTGGGAGACGAGAAGTGGCGCTCCGCAGCCCGGCGGCCAGGCCCAGCGGAAGGCTTAGGAGGCAGCTCCGAGACGTCTTTGCTCCGGCTTGCAGTTGGCAGAGGATTCGTTCCCTCCCTTTATTATGATCCGCAAGGCTTGGGACTTCCCGTTTCATTTCCTCAGAGTAGAATAAAAACTCACACACATCTCAGGAAATGGAGTGCCAAGCTGGCCGGGATTTTGAACGAATTTTCCCAGACTTGTATAGATTTGTCTTTCCCATGTCTAGCTCTATAGTAATTTCTTGTTCACTTTTTGAGATTTTTACAAAGGTCGTTTTAATTAGTTATTACACATGACAACAGAATGCTTTTTGACACACTGTACACAAACGGAGCCCAGCTTCGCCTTGCTGTGCCTGAACCTGGTGCAGTCACACGGGCAGTGTGAGCACACGTGTATGTAGGGTAATAATGTCCGCTTCATTCCACCCACTTCCTGTTTTCACTTTTTATGGATTGAATTTTCATGAAACAATGATTATATATATTTCATTAGCTTAAACATTTAATTAGACTCTACTAGGCATAGCTATTTTAGGGTACAAATATAAACCAGCTCTTGAAAGCACCCCGCTCTGTGGTTTGGAGAGAAGCACTTGGGCCTCTTGCACTCAGCCGACTGAGTTAGGAAGTGTTTTCGTCTTGATCTTGAAACAGTCTAAAAGTTACTGAAGAAAAAATACAAAGAACTGATGTAAACCCAGTATCCAGACTAACATTTTTCTAATGCTGACCTTAACCTGTAGATGGGTATCATCACTCACAGTGTGAATAAAACAGCCCTCTTCTAACATGAAGACAGGGCCAGAGAAATTTCTGCGGCTTCTTAATATTTTACATCAGTTGTTTATTCTCTGTTCCACTAAATGTATACCCTCCCCCCCACCACCAGTTATTTGAGAGTTAGTTGTAGACATCATGCCTCTTTATCCCTCAGTACTTCAGCAGGTGTTTCCTAAGAACAAGAACATTTTCTTCATAACGGCAATTCAGTTGTCTAATTCAGACAATTGTTTAATTCAGACGTTGTTACTTTAATTATTTCTAATAAAGCATCAAAGTTTGCCAGTATCTCAGTTATGGAGAATAATGAGTAAAAGAGCAAATGGTAAGTGGAATCTGTTCTTTACAGACAGGTTTGATTATAGTTTAATTTTTCTTAAAGGATATATAAGGTGTACTCTGATACCTTCCTTGTAAAATGTTAGCTGTGACATTGTGAGATGGACCCACAGGGGTACTTGCTTTCTTTCCTAACTCTTCTTGTTTACTGATATAATGATTCATTGCAAATATATTATCTTAGAAAAATTGCTTCCCACAAAGATGGTAATCATAGACACTTGTGTAGTAATTTGCTTTAATTGTGTTACAAGTTTATTTTACTATTTCTCTGAAAGTTAAAAATGGCCACCATTTATCAAATGCCTCTTTTAGAGCATTATCTTAATGATCAGCATGTGTTATTGTATTTCTTCACAACGACCCTCTGATGTTATAATTTTCCTCATTTTATTGATTTGGAAACCAAGGTTACAAGATGACATAATGTAATTTGTCCAAGGTTAGAGAATGGACACATTAGTAAATATTGCATAGCTATATGCTTAAATTAAGGCAAGATAAATATTTCATCTAAATGGGCCACATACTCTGCCCTAAAATAGAAATTGGTTGGTTTTTAAAGCATCATATGGATGAGCTCTATCAAGTTTAATGTAATGATCTCATTTGATTTAGGAGGCTTTAGTCTGAAGGGCAACTACAACATTACTTTGTTGTTGAAGGTGGTACTATTAATCTTGGATGGTATAACAAAATGAATCAATTCATCAGATATGTATGATAGGTATTCTATTTAAGTCTATGGATGCAAAGATGGTAAAGAGTGTTTGGTGTCCTCCAAAAAACAACAATTTTACCCAGAAAAACAAGCCTAATATGTTAGTTTGCTGTTACTGGAATTAAAAATCTGAGATAATCACAGGGTGTGGTGGTGCATGCATGTACTCCCAGCAGCTCAGGAGGCTGAGCAGGAGGATGGCAAGTTCAAAGCCACCCTCAGCAACTTAGTGAGGCACTGAGCAACTCAGCAAGACCCTATTCTAGATAAAATACTTTTTTAAAATGGCTGGGGATACATGGTTAAGTGCCCCTGTTTTCAGTCCGCAGTACTGGGAAAAAAAAAAGTGGGGGGGTGGAATCTGAGAAATCAACATAAAAAAGAGAAGGTATATATTGAGTGACAGTTTTACAGGTTTCAGTCAGGGTCAATTGTTTGACCCTATTGCTTTGGGGTCTGTGGCAGAGCCGCATATCATGACAGGGAGCCTGTGGTGCAGCAAGCTGCTCACCTTGTGGTGGCTAGGAAGCTAAGACAGTGAAAGAGACTGTCCTAAATGGGACATGATACATTCCCAGTGACCTGAGACCTCCAAGTAGGTCCCACCTTCTAAAGCCTCTACCGTCTCCTGATAGCACCACTGGCTGAGGAACAAGCCTCCAACACATGGGCCTTTAGTGGGCATTTAAGATCCAAATTAGAGCATTATTATGGTTTAGATCTGGAATGTTCCCTGAAGGTTAATGCGTTGAAGGCTTGGTCCCCAGTGCAGCAGAGTGGGGCTTTGGGGTGACAACCTCATCAGTGGACTAATCCATTGATGAGCTCATAGTGTAATGCCAGATTCGTGGGACCCCAGTAGACCTCCAGGAGCCGAATCCAATGCAATCACACAAGAGTCTTTATTGCAAGCTCGAGCCTGGACTCACAACCGTTCTGATGCAGTGGTCCCAGGGAGTGAGTCCCGGTCCTTTGTTCCGTGAGATTTTATAGGTTTTTGGGGATACTCTATGCGTCACGATATCACACAGCAAATCATTTCACACCGCGGGAAAGTCAAACAACAACTCTTAACATTGATTAGCACATTCACTGGCGGGAACAAGTTGGGTAGGGGTGATTGGTTAATACAAGAGGGGGATTTGTTTGAACAGATTGGTTTAAGCCATAAGGGGTATACATGCCCCAGCATGTTATCAACCACCATAAACTACTGGGGGGTCATCTGGCATCCCAGGTATTTTCCCTGTCTCATGCTGATTGGTGGTTGCTAGGGGATTGCTATGGGTCCTCACCTAGCCTGAGTCAGGGACACCAGGTGCCATAGATCTGTGGGTTTTTCTAAGGACAAGGGTCACGCTCCTTTCCTTTGTCAGGATTTGAGGTAGAAGCTTTTTTAAAAAATGGAGTCACATCAGTTTCTCAACAGCAGAGTGGGCTATCAGGAGGTGGGACCCAGTTGGAGGAAGTAAGTTACTGGGGGCAGGCCTTTGAAGGTTATATTGTCCCTGGACCACCCTCCCACACACTGGCCCTGCTTCCCCGATGACATCAGGTGAGCAGCTTTGCTCTGCCAGGCCCAACATGGTGGAGCAAGCAGATCATGGTCTGAAACCTCTAAAAGTGTGAACCAATAAAACTTTCTGTAAGACTGTAAGACGCCGCACCACACGACACAGATCACCAAAGAGGTTTCCGCTTTATTACCAAAAGCTGTGTGTTTATATAGGTCTAAGGAGAGGTTACAGAGCTGAGGTAGATAACAGGTCGCCCGTTTATTGGCAAGCTTTACCATATGTCAGTTCCGGAGCCCAAGAAGTTAATTGTAATTGGGGCTAAGGCTTCCCACCAGCAGGGTTTGAACGTTGGCGCCAGCAGGAACGTTTTGCACCAGTGAAAGAAACAAAGAGGAGAAAGAGGGTCGTTAGACGCCATGCTGGGGTTTTTCTCTGGGGTGCTGCTGCCGTTATGTTTTCCCAACATTCCTCCCTTTTTGTTTTCTTAGAAATTGGGGCATTGTTGGTCAGATCTGGCTGCTTCCGGGGAAGTGGAGGAATGTTCGGGGCAGGGGGGGGGCAGGTCTGGGGATATCATGGCAATCAGAAATAAAACCCAGTGGCTATAGACAGCTACTTCCGTAGGGGTGAAGTCTATGAAAGTTCCCTGAAACCACAAGTCATCGATGGCGTCGAACCAGTCTTGGATGGAGGAAATAGTTGGTATCAGCCACTGGTCCTGTAACAGAGACTCTAGGAAATATTGGAAGCGTTGCCTTGACATGGCGTCACCAGCACCTGAAGAAGATCAGAGCAAACAAAAGCAGGATGAAGATAAAAATTAAAGCAAATGTCAGTTTTTGGCAGAAGTTCCATGTCGGGGGACTGACAGAGAAGAGGCCAAGGGCCATGAG